TTTCTCTGCGCAATACTACGACACGATGATACTAACAATGCATGAGAGGGCCAGGGATACAACATTCGTTCGCTCTTATCTGGTGCACAGGGGAAACGACTTTAGTACTCTGTGCAACGGGAGCGTGCGTATGCATTGAAGTGCTCTAAATGCACATATTAAGGAGGCTCATCATCCGCGTAATTAAATTAGAAGCAATATAGTCAGCTGCGCATCTTCATAAGCTAGCGGCGACTTCGTTGGTAGTCACCAGTGGAGCGGGAGTCCAGGTGTGCATCTCGCAGGCCAAACTACTCACCGTCCGAAACATGAGCATTAATGTCGTATCACTACAGTTGGCTACAGTGTGCAACCAGCGCACGCGATCAACAAATAAATGCATACACCGCAGTTGTAGAATATTATCGCCATTTGTCTTGCGCCAACTGTCTCTGCTAATATACTGGATGATAACTAGAGGCAGGTCTGCGTGACGGTCCAAATAACTCTTCTTCTTGATTTCTCACTCGCCGTGGAACAAAACCAATCGTTTATTTCTCTCATGTGTTGATTTGTGGACACCTTTTGAGCAGGCGCGTGAGGCGCGGGGGATTATGGAAGTCAAATTAATTAACTGATGTGCCAAACTTGCACCCTCTTAGCAAACGCAATATGGCTAAACGGAAGGACGCCACCCAGTTACAGGCTTGGACACTGCTATAAACATCTATCCAGCCATCACTTATGGTACAAGACCGAGGGTTAGACATATTTTCAATTTAAATAGGATTTTCTAAGCCATGAAATTTGAAGATCAACATTTGAAAGGCTGGACTAAAATAAATGTCAGATTATTTATTTTGGTTCAACACATTGGCTTAAGGTGCGATATGCTTTTCAGATGGGAAAGCAAGAATGGACCAAATCCAAGAACCTCCGTCGCTTTTACGCATACACTTTAACCGTGGTTTTTCCTTTTTTTGAAATTCTTTACTTTCCTAAACACTCCCGCATTTCAAAGCAACGTAATGTTACTCAATAACAAAAATATGCCTTTTTTAACGGACATCATTCCTTTACTTCTTTTAGGATGGGGAGGGGGGGAGAGCAGCTTAGACTGCTTTTGCGATGCAGGGATTCTTTTTGTAAAAATACTTAGTTTCCAAGATATATGGCACCTAATGGCAGTTATCCGTTGTGTGGGTTTTTTGTTATACCTCGCGAGGCGAATTCAAGAACCCACCAAGAAACTCACTCAGATAATTTCTTGAATCTAGCCTCGATTCTCAGGTGGTAAGTCAGAATGAGAAAGAACGTCCACCGGGAGAGATATTTTTATTGCTACTCGTTGATTAACATTCACCGATATGGAATTAGACTTCTGATCAAGAGTTGCATGTTCAAGGCTTGGTGGGGGCACCACTTGGGATTGAGACTGACTGTCTGACGACGGTGGATGAGCCAGGGATGACTATTCTAGTCTCTATTTTCTTTGCCGACAATGCTATCTGCGTTGCTAAATGTATTTTTGAGGCCAAAGCCACCCGTATCACAGTTACCCCTATTTCTTATCAATTACAGTCTGTTCCTTCCCACTGCCTATCTATCCTTCTTAGTTTTTTTAAGGTTTCCTTTTCACTGAAAGTGTAAAACCACATTTTCTACAAACCATTTGCTGAGTTGTAATGCCTCGCTTTCCAACCTCGTTACATTTTGTCCGTTTTTTGGGCCAAGTTAGTGAGTGCAATTTTCTGTAACTGCTGTTTTTTATTTTCCTTCTGCGTCCTATCACAGAACTACTGGTCCAAGGCTTACCCCTACCCCATTAACTACGAACAGGCCTGTGTCCTATGGGGCGCAATGATGAGACAAATGTTACGCACGGCAAGTTGCGAACTGAAGCCAGATGACGGGTGTGTAGCTTTCAGCTTCCTATTTGTGTACCTA